GCAGATCAATGGTGAGAAGCTGGGAGAGGTTAATATCAAGAGAGGAATATTTCAAGGAGATTCATTATCACCATTACTATTTGTTATTGCACTGTTTCCTCTGTCAACAATACTGAATAACTCAGGACATGGCTATCAAACATCAAAAACATCTGCCAGACTATCCCACCTCCTTTACATGGATGATCTGAAGCTGTATGGAAAAACATCATCTGAAATAGAATTGCTCAACACTGTCCGTATATATAGTCAAGATATTGTAATGGAGTTTGGCTTGGACAAATGTGCCAAACTTACTATCAAACAAGGAAAAATAGTGAAAACTGAAGGAATCAAGATGCCCCACGAAAATAACATTAAGAGTCTGGATGAGGAAGAGTACTACAAATACTTGGGTATCCTTCAAGCTGACAACATCAAGCACACTGAAGTCAAGAAAAAGATTAGAGGTGAATACATCAAGAGAGTGAAGAAGATCTTAAAGTCCAAACTCAATGGAGGAAATACCATAAAGGCAATCAACACCTGGGCAATCCCAGTCATTAGGTACACAGCTGGAATAGTGGACTGGACTCAAGCAGAACTAAAAGCAATGGATAGGAAGACCAGAAAAATAATGACAATGAATCATGCCCTTCATCCACGCAGTGACATTGATAGACTTTATCTACCAAGGCAAATAGGTGGGCGTGGAATGCTACAAGTACATCAGATGGTTGAAGAAGAAAAAATGGCTTTGGAAGAATATCTGAAGAACAATGATGAAGATGCACTGAAATTAGTATATCAGGAAGGCTTACTAACTACTGGAGAGACCAAACTGGCAGAAATTGAAGAAGAGACCGAGGGACTAATTCTGGCTGCACAAGACCAAGCCTTAAGGACAAATGCATACAAAGTCAAAATTGAGAAGACAGCAACAGACAGTAAGTGCCGCCTATGCAAAGAAGCTGAAGAAACAGTGGACCACTTGGTAAGCTGTTGCAAGAAGATTGCACAAACTGACTACAAGCAGCGGCATGACAAAGTAGCAACAATGGTGCATTGGAAGATCTGCAAAAAATATCATTTGCCTGTAAGCAAAAACTGGTGGGATCATAAAATAGAGAAAGTCATAGAAAATGATAAAATTAAACTGCTCTGGGACTTCAGAATTCAAACAGACAAGCACCTGCAACATAACACCCCAGACTTAACAATTGTCGATAAGAAAGACAAAAAAGTCTGGATAGTGGACGTGGCAGTGCCTGGAGATAGCAGAATAGAAGAGAAAGAACTGGAGAAGATAACAAAATACAAAGACCTACAAATAGAAATAGAAAGACTGTGGCAAAAGCAAGCAAGGGTAGTACCAATAGTCATAGGCTCCTTGGGTGCAATCCCAAAACAACTGGAGCACCACTTGAACACCATTGGCATTGACAAATTCGCTATTAGTCAATTGCAAAAGGCGGCCTTATTAGGAACTGCTTCCATCCTGCGACGATACCTGTAATACCATCAAACATCCACATCTGCCTATCCCAGGTCCTGGGTAAGGACTCGATAGGTAGACAAAATGCCAAATCCAGTCTGAACATCTGGCTGACTGTGTGATGATCCATAATAATAATAATAAATAATAATAATATAATAATAATAATAATAATAATAATAATAATAATAATAATAAAGTTGGAAGGGACCTTGGAGGTCATCTAGTCCAACCCCCTGCTCAGGCAGGAAACCCTATACCATTTCAGACAAATGGCTGTCCTTGCTCTTCTTTAAAACCTCCAGTGTTGGAGCATTCACCGCTTCTGGAGGCAGGTTGTTCCACTAGTTAATTGTTCTAACTGTCAGGAAGTTTCTCCTTAGTTCTAGGTTGCTTCTCTCCTTGCTTAGTTTCCACCCGTTGCTTCTTGTCCTGCCTTCAGGCGCTTTGGAAAATAGCTTGACTCCTTCTTCTTTGTGGCAGCTCCTGAGATATTGGAACACTGCTATCATGTCCCCCCTCGTCCTTCTCTTCATTAAACTAGACAGAGACTGTTTTAAACCAATCTGGCTAAAAAAAGAAAATGGCAAATTCCAATCCTTAGAAGTTTCTTTGGAAAGTCTCTGTCCATTCGGATTTGAACATGCCAAGATCTAAACAATGCATCTAGGATATTGATTTTCAATCATTTTTAAGCCTAGTATCCAACCATATCATCTTCTCAAATAGGCATGTCTCATCATCATATCTCAATTCTAATTCTGAAATTCTGTTGGGGTTTCACCTTGGTCAGGATGGATGCCCTACTGTCTGCAGTTCTGGGGAGGGGGGTATAAGAACATCCCTTTTCAACAGTGCTTATGTCCATGTGGAAATGGCTTTGTAGAATTCCTAAGCCATATGTTCCTTTATTGCTTGATCTATAGGAATCAAGGAAAATATACATTTATCCCATTTTAAAGAACTATCCTAGTAAAGAGCACAATGTCCATCTGTCACTGCTGTCTAACCAGGACCCTGACATCTGTTTCCAGGTTTTTGATCTTGTACTATGATAAATAAAATTAATAACATTGATATGGTAATCATAAAGACAATGTGCCATATGTCATCAAATAATAAAAAAACTGATCCTAGCTTCATATTATGCTCATACTGCATTTATAATTTTTGTAAAATTAAGTATTGCTTTGTTATATATACGTGTATGTTGCTGCTTAATCAGGTAATCGTAGCATTTGAAATAAATAAAAGTTCATTTTCAATCTTACAAAATTAATGCAGATGAACAGATTGGGTTTTATTTGGACCACATTTTTAAGTGAACTAAACTAATTACATTCTGAGGCCGCTACACAAAGGGAAAAAATAGACTTTAAATAAAGGGAAAAAACAGACCAACCTATCAAAAATAGTGCCATAAAAAACAGAATAGAAACACAAGTTAAGATGGGCAAGAAAATGGTAAGTGAGCAGCTGTCATGAGTTCAAATCGCCAGGACCAAATGGATTACATTCCAAGGTTCTCAAGGAACTGGCAGATGTGATCTCGGAACCACTGAACTATATTTTTCAAAGATCCTGGAGCACAGGGGAACTACTGGAGTACTGGAAAAGAGCTGATGTAGTTTCCATCTTCAAAAAAGGAAAAAAAAATGGTCCCAGGAAATTACAGACCTATCAGCCTGACCTCAATACCTGGGAAAATTCTGGAAAAGATCATCAAACAACGAATCAGTGAACATCTAGAGACAAATAAAGTCATTACTAAAAGCCAACATGGGTTTGTCAAAAATAGATCATGCCAGACAAATCTTATTGCATTCTTTGACCAAGTGACAAAATTAGTGGATCAGAGGAATGCTGTGGACATAATTTACTTGGACTTCAGTAAGGCATTTGATAAAATAGATCACAACCTACTACTTGATAAGATAGAAAAATGTGGGGTAGACAGCACCACCACCAAATGGATCCGTAGCTGGCTGACCGGCCGTACTCAGCGAGTGGTTCTCAATGGAACCACATCTACATGGAAGGAAGTGTGTAGTGGGGTGCCCCAGGGCTCTGTTCTGAGCCCAGTGCTCTTCAACATCTTCATCAAGGATTTGGACGAGGGGCTAGATGGGGAACTCATCAAATTTGCAGACGATACCAAGCTGGCAGGAATAGCCAACACTCCAGAAGACAGGCTTAAGATACAGAAGGATCTGGACAGACTTGAACACTGGGCACTATCTAACAAAATGAAATTCAATGGTGAAAAAAGCAAGGTTCTACATTTAAGCAAGAAAAACCAAATGCACAAGTACAGCATAGATGGCACCTTGCTCAATAGTAGTAACTGTGAGAGGGACCTCAGAGTCGTAGTGGACAATCACCTAAATATGAGCCAGCAGTGTGCTGCAGCTGCCAAAAAGTCCAACACAGTGCTAGGCTGCATTAACAGAGGGACAGAATCAAAATCACGTGAAGTGTTAATACCACTTTACAATGCCTTGGTAAGGCCACACTTGGAATACTGCATCCAGTTTTGGTCACCACGATGTAAAAAAGATGTTACGACTCTAGAAAGAGTACAGAGAAGAGCAACAAAGATGATTAGGGGACTGGAGGCTAAAGCATATAAGGAACGGCTGCTGGAATTGGGTATGTCTAGTTTAATAAAGAGAAGGACGAGGGGGGACATGACAGCAGTGTTCCAATATCTCAGGGGCTGCCACAAAGAAGAGGGAGTCAAGCTATTTTCCAAAGCGCTTGAAGGCAGGACAAGAAGCAACGGGTGGAAACTAAGCAAGGAGAGAAGCAACCTAGAACTAAGGAGAAACTTCCTGACAATGAGAACAATTAACCAGTGGAACAACCTGCCTCTAGAAGCGGTGAATGCTCCAACACTGAAAGTTTTTAAGAAGAGCCTGGACAGCCATTTGTCTGAAATGGTATAGGGTTTCCTGCCTGAGCGGGGGGTTGGACTAGATGACCTCCAAGGTCCCTTCCAACTTTACTACTACTACTACTACTACTACTACTACTACTACTATATGATTTAGAATATGACTAATTTTCATGCAGTCTTTCAAATTCTGTAATATGGCATATGACTCATATCTCATACATTGCATGATTTAACTTTGCACCCTGATGAATTTGTGACTAAAACAACTCAACGACGTAAATTGGTTCACCCTCTCCCATTCATTTCTTCTTTTTCTAAGCACATGCTGTGATTTGTAATTGTTTTCTTAAGGTAACCTTTTTATGTTTATTTTTCATAGTTTTTCAGCTCCTTTTCTATAAAATTAGAAGAATGGAAATAACTTTAAATAATTAGATAAATATGTTTAATTTTCTAAATAAAGACATATTAATAATGTGTTACCATATACTCACTTAAGAAAAGCAATAAAAAGAGAATTAATAATGCTGATATCTTCATAATCTAAGGAGAAAAATTGCTAGAAATGTTGATAGACAATACAAAATTAGTTAGTGAGGACTATTTCTAAATTGATAGCAGTGTACTTACTTTCGTCTTTCTGCCTCAAATTTATTCAATAATTTCTGAAGACCACCATTTTTAAATCCCTGAAAATGTGCTGCAGGAGCTCCCACAGTGATGACATCATAAAGAACATCTGCAACACGAAGATTACATGCTAAATTGTACATATACAGATACATTGTAATCATATAGCGATAATAAGTAGTTTTAGTAGTCCTAACTAATACAAATGAATTTGCCTCTCCAAAATGAATTTCACCAATCATCAATTCCCAACCACTTGCAAATGACCAGGTTTACCATTCCAGGGAGCTTCTTTTCTGTCTGAAACCCTCTTTTATTGTCTCATCTGCTTAAATCTTAATGACTTCTTCAACGTTGTTAAACTAAGTCAAGAGCTTACTGTACTATATTGGCCAAGTCCATCCAGTCCATCTAGGAAATATTCTAAAGAGACATTCCTATGACAGGACATAAAGAATCAAATATATTTCCTGCTTCTTCACCCAATTATTGTGATCATGCTTTGTTAGTAAGAAAATATTTAGCAATTGGTTTTATCCTGGTAAGATACCATTACTGGATATGCCTCTTGCCAGTTTTAGAAATTTCATGAGAAAATTTTTTTTCCACGTGGTACTACATGGAATGATAACAGAAAATACAACTTTTTCAAACACAGTTATTAGCAATAACAATAGCACTTAGACTTATATACCGCTTTATAGTGCTTTACAGTACTCTCTGAGTGATTTTCAATATCAGCACATTGCCCCCCAAAATTTGGGTCTTCATTTTACCAACCTCGAAAGGATGGAAGGCTGAGTCAACCTTGAGCCAGTCAGGATCAAACTCCTGGCAGAGGGCAGAGTTAAGCCTGCAATACTGCATTTTAACCACTGCACTACCACTCAATTATTGGTTCCTTTTATTTTTGTAGTTATTTACTTAGGTAGATATAATACATTTTTCTTCCTTTTTTCAATAATGTTATTAAATATTACATTATACAGATAAAATTAGTACAATTACACACTACTGAAATATATTAAAAAAATAAAACTTAAGAAACTGCAGAAAAAGAAAATATAAGAAAAGAGAAAGGTTAGAAAAAGAAGCCTCTCCCTTCATCCGCAGCAAGTCTAATCAACATTACCAATTTATCACTCTTAAAATACAATCAAACATCTATTCATTCCATACCTTACATTCTCTATAAGCCCATCCCTAAAACCTCATCTCTATATATTAATCAGCAAAGGACCACTAAGGGTTATCAAAATACTATGTAAGTATTATAATTTTTATTTAATATGCTCAGTTTGAATCTTATTCATTTCTTTTTAAACATATTCTGTATTTCCTCAAATATGGGGTATGTTTAAATAGTTGAAGTTCAATTCCAATCAGAAAAACATTAAATATCACCAAAAATAGCAATGCATTATTTTAAAAGATTTTCAATCTTTAACAAGCAGTTAAAAAAAAAGGAAATTCCAAAATGATTTTAAAAAATGAGGTTTGGTCAAACCTTGAGTCCATAAAAGACTATGTCAATGGTTCTTGAGCTTGTTGAATGAGTCCCAACTGTTTGCCAAGTTAGCAAAAATGTCAATTTCTGTACTGGCTCATAAAAAAATACCCAGTTGTGTTCTTACATATGGGTAACCTCAAGATTTCTCCTTGCTCCAGAGAGAATTTTTAACAGTTTAGGTGGAGTATAGATCTGCCTTTTGACTGTAATGTATCCCATTGAACATGGGACATCAATTCACCATTAGTCTGTTATGTTTTTCTTCCTACTGTTTTAGGAATTTGCTTACTATTCATACATATTATATATTTTTTGCACAATCTTTGTTTTGTATATTAAATTACAAAACAAAATTTGTATTAACACTGTATTAATATTCATGCAGTTGGTTTAATAGACTTCAGTTTAGTGAATTTTGGAAGCAGTGTATAAAAACTATTCATAATTCTATGCATGTATTAACATCATTTTACGCTTGCATACATTTCAATTTGCCCTTTAATAGATGTTTGGGCATAGTGGACACTCCTTATTCCTTTCATGATTGAAGTTAAATTATAGGTAGTCCTCAACTTAAGATCATAATTGAGCCCAAAATTTCTGTTGTTAAGTGAGTTTTGTCCCATTATACAACATTTCTTGCCACAGTTATTAAGTGAATCACTGCAGCTGTTAAGTTAGCAACACAGTTGTTAAGTGAACTTGGCTTCTTCATTGACTTTTCTTGTCAGAAGGTTGCAAAAATGATCACAACTTCGGGATGCTGCAACGGTCTTAAGTATGAACCAGTTGCCAAGCATCTGAATTTTGATCACATGATCATGTGGATGCCACAAAGGTTGTAACTGTGAAAGTAGTCATAAGTCACTTTTTTCAGTGCCATTGTAACTTTGAACAGTCACTAAATGAACTTTTATAAGTCAAGGACTAGCTATACTAGGTAGTGAACTGTATAACATCATACAGCTTACCTTTTATACAAGGACCCTGCACAAGCATTCTCTGCAGATGTAGATTTATTGGAACAAATTCTAGTGTTTTTTCTCCTTTACTGCAACTTGATTTGAAAGAAGAGCCTGAAAAAAAATGATAAAATATCCTTAACTGAAGATCCAGATGTTTTCTCTTTCTTAAAATCTAAGAAAAGCATTTTTGGGTGTGAAGAATCTTTATGCTTCAGTTTCAGAATGGCCCCCATGAAATCTAAGGAAAAGAGAGCTACTTTTAAAAATTGCTAACAACTCTATATGGACAGTTCTATGCTCCTTGCCACAATTTTCCTTTTAAAATCTAAATACCGCTCTATTTTCAATTTGTAAGAATTCACACCATAGGAATTCTGTGATGTCCAAATCCAAAATATGTACAAGATACGATTTGGATAGGAGAAGTGTAAAGGAGAAATTTAGGAAATATAAAGGAAACTTTCCTAATATCATTAAATTCAAGACTATTTGCACTATTGTAACCAAAGGATTATCTCTTTGTAATTGGTATACAAATTCAGAGGACTAACCATCCACTTATTAATACCTATCAAACAAATTAAGGCTGTAAAACAGCATAATCAATTAATAGATGATTTTACTGACAATGGTGGTGCATTTATTATATATACAGTATTTACTAAAAATAACGAACTTTGTGGCATCTTAAAGACTTTTTAAAGTATTATCTGATGTCTAATACTTAAAGTGTGTACATTCTCCTCTTATGGAAAGAGGTATCCATAAACAGTAAGGTTAGAAGTAAATGAAATGAAGGAACAATAACCTTTGCAGCAAAACCCCCACATATTCTCAGCTAGAAATGAAGGCACCTAAACAACCATTGCAGCAACCATAGAAAAAAGTCTGTAACATTATTCTCATTTTAAAGTCAAGCACTGAAGTCAGTAGTTATTCAACAGTAAAGACTGGGCTTTCAGAGATCAATGCCTATTTCTTAGCCCATGTTCTAGAATTTTCAGTGCAAAAAGTCTGGTCAATACCTCTCTGTTGCTCTCCTCAACCATGGAGAACTCAGCTACTATGTATGTACAGCAAACCTGAGCAAATTCTGTTCTAAGACATAATTGAAATTAATTATAAGTATTTTGAAAATCTTGATATAGAAGGAACAAGACCAGATAAATAGCTTGCTTATTCTGTATAGCAAGTTCATAATAGAAAACTGGAACATATTTACAATTACCATAATTTGCAGTGCAGACTTCAGTCAAGAATAATAGAGTCACACGCAGCAACAATAACACTTAATATGATTAGGCTAAGGCATGTATTCTTTACTTAATTTTTTCTATTAAGTTCTCCAAGTTCATATGTGGGCATTGTGATCCTTCTTTTTTCTCTTCATGCCACTCAACCCAAAGCCTATATATGGTTCCCAAATTTAGAATTAATCAAGGTTTTTAGCTATTATTGGAATTTATCTCTGATTCCAGTTTGTTCGGAATCATAGATTCCAATATTAAATAGTAAACAGCTGTTATATCGCATTTCCATTTTGTACATCATAATTAGTGCAAAAATTATTCAATTAACTTTAGGCATGCTCCAATATCAGCTTACTCAGATAAAGAACATAAACTTGAATTGAGTATAGTTTTCACATTCCCAGAGTTATTTATATTTTTTTGACATAGAAACAAGCGTAAAAATCCACATATTTACCAACCATTGGCAGGCTATTATACTTTACATTTTGTACATGTAAAATGATTCATATAATGAAAAATAGTAGTTTGCATGATTTTACATATGTCTGGAAAGCAGTTTTCCGTAAAAACCCAAATAAGAACTGTGTAAACAGTGTAAACTTAATGAAGATATACACCTTTATGTGCACATGCTTGTCTGCGTTTAAAGCTATTGAAATGAAGCCAGTTACCACAATTTTAATTATATAGTCAGCAAATTCACAGAGAACAATTTTAAGTTTGTAATAATTAACTTGGATAGCACAAGTCTTAATTTCAGCTTTTCAAGCTATTTAGGAAAAGTAAAATATTTTGGACCTATATGTCAGTCCAAACATATTTAATTTCTAATTCTGACTATTTTTACATTTACATTACAATTACTCAAACTAAAACTAAGCGTAGCTTTCCTGAATGGGATGCCATCAGTACACTGTGAAACTGAAATCTGAACTTCCTGATGGAAAGACGAGATATAAGCACATATGCCACATATGTCTGGAAACAATAGGTTCCACTAGAAATAACATGTAACTGAGTTATTTGCTGAACATGTTCCACTAAGAAATTTATAAATAGAGTACATCTATAAATAAATGATTTATTTCCATAAATTCCATAATTATAATACCAAGATATTTTTATCACTTTTTTAAATTTTTATTTATCAAATTTAGATACCACCTCTCTCGCTATCCAAGTGACTCTGGGCAGTTTTCAGATACAAATAATAAAACTGTATAAAATAAATAAAATTTGAAAACAATTAAATCAGAGTGAAAAATAAAATAAGAGCAAACTTAAAAAGTTAAAAAAGGTGAAGGGTGCATCGTCCAGCCAACCCCAGACTTGTGTGCCATTCTTCAATCCCCAAGCCAGTTGGCAGACTATCTTCCAGAAGACTATCAGTCAATCAGAATAGAGCTGGAAGGGGCCTTGGAGGTCTTCTAATCCAACCCCCTGCTCAAGCAGGAAACCCTATACCATTTCAGATAAGTAACTAAAGAGTGGGGGCCATTATCACCTCTGGGGCAAGATATTCAATGGCAGGCGCAACAGCAAAGAAGGCCCCACCAGCTGAAATTCTTTAACCAAAAGGTTCTATAACATATCCTCCCTGTTTGACATCACATCACATTGCCCGAAATTAAACATGTAACTCCATTCAATGTACAGGGTTTTACTTTATGTTTCTTTTCAAATAGCAGCTACAGTATGTGGGTAAAAGCATCAAGATTACTAGTGCAAAGTGAAAAGATAATTCTTTCTCTGGTACTATGAACTTGATGAAAATCACATTTCCTTAAAACAAGTTTCCATCCAGACAGGGGAGTGCCTTTTCTTCCATAGCAGCTTGTATTTCATTATCAACAGTAGCATCAGAATAAATGTATAAATAAATTTATAAAATTTATAAAATGAAAATAAATATATCAAGCAAAAATTAAAATTGTGTGATAGAAATTAACCAGAAAAATAAAAAGAATAATTTAAAAGCCTGGAGAACAAAATAGGCATTTTCTATACCTAAAAGGAAGCAATGTTACTAGCAGATGAATATTGTATGGCTTGCTGGAAAAATAATCTTTGTGACTGTCAGCTATTTTATATACCAAAAAAAAAAGAAAAGAAAAGAAAAAAAGAATCTGGCTTAAAAAACAAAACAACTGCAACTATTTCATCAGGCTAAGAACAGGAGGAGAGGAAATGAACAAGGTATAGGACACTATAAATGGCAATCCTGCGCATTAAAACCTATCAGAGATATAAAATAAGAATCATCCTTTATATGGGAACAATATTGGATAGCTTCCATATATAATGAAAACATACCTAGAAATGTACATAAAGGATGGTCTAAATAACTGATAAGATGGAGAGATCTTATGCACGATCTGCAAAAAATATCATGCCCAGACCATGAAACAGATTAGATTCTTGTTATCATCTGGGCCAGTGTTTCTCAACCCTGGCAATTTTAAAATGTGTAGACAAATTCACAATTCTAGAAGTTTATACATCTTAAAAACAAACATTGATTGGACTTTCAGTTTTGCACAGTAGCACCGGACCAAGGGACTGCAGAGCTCCGTATCCCACAGCTGGTTTAGACCATCCAGGGGACCCTAAATGAATCTAAGTCACCCCAGAGAGATGACGAAGGAGCCCCCCCCCCGGATCACTGAAAGACAGCAGTCGATCCGTTTGATCCGGGGGAAGCGCTCCAACCCGACAAGAGAAAGGCTAGCTGCACATCAGTGACTAGCCCAAGCTACCAGCAGCAGAAGTCCAAAAACACTAACCAGAACAACTATGAACAGCGTGCTTGGAACTGGGTGAGAATGTTGATCTTCTCTCTTTTATCGTGTAACTGATTTTCTGGAAAAGATCCCCAAGAAGCAAAAAATCCTCCAAAAGTGAGAAGGGAGGGAATCGCAACCCACCCTTCCATAGATGGAAGTGGCGATTTAATTTTTGTGGGGGACAGAAATATATTGAAATGAAATTAATACTATAGTCTGTATAAATCTAAAAATTATGAAAACTGTTAAGATTTCACATCTAAAAGAGTATTGATGAAATTATAAAAAATAATTATTCGTCTTAAAAGTTAGAAAATGACTAGCTACTGACACCTAGTGGACGATTAGAGCACAGAACAGCTGCATTGACTGAGAAATTGGCAAGACGTCTAGAAATAAAGAACTGAACCTCAGTACTTTTAGCCAAATAGAAAACAGCTGGGAACAGGGGAAAGAAAATACACTGGGTCACCTATTACAGATTGAGAACTATATTTGTTTTAAAAATTGCTGACCTTCTGGGATTATAGAGCGGTGGTCTCTAAGCTCAAGTATTGTCTGCAGAGAAAAATTTTGACTTTTGGCTAATTTTCTAGGGGGGAATTTACTGCATGGTTAAACATTCTGGATTGCAATTTTGGCTGGCTGATAATTGTAAGACCCCTGAATAGAAGAGCTATTATAAAATATTGCTTTCAGTGATGCTTTGACAATTGGAAATGTATTGGATAATAAAGACTATGGTACCGGTGAAATAAGACTATGGTACCGGTGAAAGAATATCTGAAGAGGGGAGATAAAACTAATGTTGCCTACCACACCTAATATCTCCTTCTGAAGGCCCCAGCCTGAAATATCAGAGACCTGCAGGAGCAATACACCAAGACAAGGCAAATATTTTCCAGGAGGAAATGTATGCAATGCTGCAACAGATTCAAATGACAATTGTGTCAAATCATGATGAAATTAAAAACAACTTTGATGACATAAATAAGCACATCTTTAACCTAAACATACAATTAAAAAACTCTCAGAAAATGACAACAAATGAACAAACAAACCAGATAACAGAACACAAATCAGAGGACAGTGACCCAAAGAGCGAAGCTACAGATGAAGAGAACCACAGCTTAATACAAACAAAAGAAAACTTGCAAGATTTTGCCATAACAATAGAAATGGAAAAGATATCTTATTTTTTAGGGCTTCAAAACAAACTTTAAGATAGGAAAGAAGATCTAACGAAATGGATTATAGAGCAGCCAGGAGAATCATTAAAGTTTGGGAGACAGAAAATGCATGTCTTAAAAACTTAACTTGTCTCTTCTATTCTCAACAACATTTACAAAAATAGAAGAAGAATCGCCTGGCAAGTTGAACACACTGACTTGGAAAGTTACTTGGCAAAAGAAGAAGGCTAGAGTTAGATTCAAGAGATTTGATTCGACTTATGAGATGGAGTGCTATGAATACAGAGGGGAAATTAAGCTTAAATAAGAATCTTGAAAACAGGACATATAGTGACTCAACAAGATGATTTTTATAAATACAATTGAAACATAAGCTGATCAGAAAAGATGTTATATGCTGATGTTACTGTTATTTGTACAAACATAAGAAAAATGTTTATATCCAACTTTGTATATATCGAAAATATAAAGGACTATATTTGTTTAATGTTGACAAAAGGAGAATACTACTGGAAGAAGAGAGGACCAAAGCAATATATCATTAATCAATATATTGATTATGGAACTATAGAATTTAATTATTATTGTTTTTTAAATATATGAACCCAGACAACACACTGTTTAACAAGCACTAAAGACTGTTATTATAAAAATCAATAAAATATATTAAAAACAAACAAACAAACACTGATCTAGGCATTGAGAGATCTTACATTCAAGTAATATCATACATTCAATACTGTAATTATTTGTTTTCATAAACTTAAGAAAAAAGGTGATTATATGAACTCATGGTTTGTGCTACATATTTCTATAGAATAAAAAATCCCAAAATCGTAAGTTTAATTATTAAACATTTTCTGACCTGTATGTTTTCCAAGTTCTGCAAGCATATTTTGGTACAGGATCAACATTTGATCACAGTGTGCAATAACATTTTTACGCATATTGTCCCAATGTGGAGAAAGCTCCCCAAGTTCTTTAAGGTCCTGATTCCTGTAGCAAAATAACAATAAAAAACGTATTTTATCAATCTAATCTTACAAAATGTTAGTACAAATTAAGTGGTTAAACAACTATAGTCCAACAGCTAGTTTTACCATTCTTATTTATATATAGCATTATCCTGGGCTTAATCAATAAAATACTTTTTTGCAAAGAGATGGATTCAGGTTTAATTCAGAGAATCTTTCAGTAGGGTAAGGAATCCAGGTAGTAATAGAAAAGGCATTCTTAAACTGGCACCCTTCATGCATCTTGGAACTACTAAATACTGGCTAAGAATTCTAAGAATGAAAATCTCAAAATATCTACATTCTAAAAGGCTGCTAGATCATCTGCTATTTCTATGTTTTACAGAGGAAATAGGTCTTTAATTAGTATCTCTGAAGATCCCTGCCCTATCGCCTTCTATTTACATTAACATTTGATGAGGTGTTATCTTTTAAATCTACACCTTTTCAATGTTTACAAATTCTAATTGTATTCTCCAGCTTTTCTGTGAAAATAAACTGGTTTCCATCTGCATTTAGTGCAACCATCTGCATTGTTTAATACTGAAAAATATGCTCTGAAATCTAAAAACAACAATTCCACCAGCATCATTAAACAAAAAACCCCAAACAAATAATGATTTCCCCAAATAAAATAGTTTAACTTGGATGATGAGAATAGCACATTCAGATTTTCATTTTTTAAATATACCACTTAAAGAAAATCTTACTTTCACTTTTAATATGTACTACCAGGATTTATCTGTCTGGATTAATCATCTTGGCAAGTGCACCTGCTAAGTGAAAATGTTGGGCTAATAAAAGATAGTCAATTCATGGAGTTACAAAAGGAGACTCTTTAGCAAACTGCCAGCTTCCCATTAACCCTGGAAACTGACATAATTGAAACACAATTCATATCAGTATTAAATGAAAAAAACATGGAAAACTTTTACTGTTAGAACTACAACTGCCTGATTTCATTGAATATAAGAAACATGTTGTGCTGGGTGAAATGTGCTGGGTGAAATTTGGTTTTAACATCTATTAATTCAGGCTAAATGTTTTAAACTACATATCTGTTTCTCCTTGATGTTAGATATTATGGTTGGTGAAAGTTTGCTGAAGACAATATAATTGTACTGCTAATTCTAATACATTTTGAGATTATTAGTAATTTCAAATATGAAATACCCCCAAAAATATAAAATGTCAAGGTTCTTGCTGAAAAACAACCTCATTTAGCCCTTTCATTCTTGAATTATTTAAGCAATGTGTTCACAAAGGATTCTGCAGCAAATCAACTTTACATCAAAATGATGATACATGTGTTGATGCAAATTTTGCCTTTATATAATTGTGTTCCAATGTTTGTTGCAAGTTATGAGATTTTATTAATTTTATTAATACATATAAAATAATAATTCTGGGTGCTTCCATTTTTCCTGATTGCAATCATCTATAATTTAATAACTAGAATTAGTAATGTTTTATCTAAATTTATTTCAACTAGAATTTCAGATGAAATGTACATAGTTTTGATTGCCATGACCCAAGATAGGTATCAAAAAGGAAGAAAGTATGATACTAGCAACTATATTATCAACTTTCAGACTGCTGCTTCAACTAGGGGACATTATCATATCAACTAGGATATTAGACTTTTTATTTTTAGGAGCTTTTCTATAGTATTCTAGAAAGTTTTTATGTCTCCCATCCTTCTTAACATTTATATCTCAGATAAGGTATAACAAAAAATGTAAGATAATGGAGGGCATGTGAATGCTTCATTTCATTTTGACATTCCTAAGGTCATTAAAATATTTGGGCTTATTTTGAATTATGTTGTCAACGCTGCTAACATTGGATGTTCTTGCTTTGACAACAGATGGAAATGCAGCCATTTTCTCTATTGCTTTTAGAATTAGTTGATGGTGGGAGAGAGAATAGAGATGAGAGTCGAGCTAGTCAAAAAATAATATCTTAGCCATGGGAACCCAAGGACATTGGGCCCAGAGCTGATAGTGTTTCGGCAGGCTGGAGAGCTGGGGAGAAAGCCCGCACTTCAAGCTAACTGGGGAATGTGATTTATGACTGGTTATTGAAGGAGGGAATTGTACTTTGTTACTTTGTATCCAGGGGAGGGGAATTTAGTTTTTGGTTTCAACTATGCAGTGTCACTTTGGCCACCTAATGAGAAGGAAGGACTCATTGGAGAAGAGCCTAATGTTGGGAAAGATTGAGGGCAATAGAAGAATGGAACGACAGAGAATGAAGTGGCTGGATGGAGTCACTGAAGCAGTAGTATTGAACTTAAATGCACTCCAGAAGATGGTTGAGGACAGGAAGGCCTGGAGGAATGTTGTCCATGGGGTCACGATGGGTCGGACATGACTTCGCAATTAACAATATGTAGTGCAGATACGTTATTTCTCGAGTAAAAGATTCTTTAAGGCAAACAATGCCTCTTTTGAAGAGTTTCATCTATCGGAACCATGACATATGTACAGTATCTCAAATTTGGAATGTATAAATATATGAAAAAATATTTTTTAAACATGGGATGTAGAAAGTTTGTTCTTTTATGATAGAAAGACATGTTTGTCTTTATTAATTAACAGGCGCCACACTGGATTTATGCCAATGAATTGTGTCAGACTAACTCGATCTTCTTTAATGGCAGAGTTACTAGACTGGATGATCCCTTGCTACAGTATATCTTGACTTTAGCAAGCCTTTGATGCTGTTATAACATCCTTATTAACAAATTGATCAAATATGGGTTTGACAACTCAAACATTATGTGGACCCACAATTGGCTCAAGGACAACTCAAAGATAGCATCAAATCTTCCTGGAGAGACATCTTGTGTAAGGTGCCATGGGAATTTGTCCAGATCCTGGTGTGAGTCAACATTTTTTTAAATGATATGGAGAGAGTTAAAGGAATGCTTACCAAATTTGCAGACAATACAAAACCAGGAGGAGTTACTAATATTTAGGAAAAGGGAAAAATCCAAAAAGATTTTGCTTAAAACAGTGGATGGAAACAAATAAAATGAAATTTTATACACAGAGAAGTATAAATTCATGCTTCTAGATAAAAAACAACAGACATTCAAAATAGAGGAAATCTGGTTCAAGAACAGCACATACAAGGAGAATTTGTATGTACTAGTGGTTCATAAGCTCTATATGTCTCCACAGCATAATCCAACACTGTTCAAAGAAGACAAATAACATCAAAAATCCAGATTTAGAGAGGTAACTACTCCGCTCTATTCTGTCTTGGAAGGCTTCACTGGGATTATTATGTTCAGTTCTACACATTTTAATTTGAAAAGAACATTTATTAACTGGAACAGGTCCAAATGAGGGCTACCAAATGATGAAATTACTGAAAGGGATAGTTAAAAGATCCAGTTTTCAGAAGAGAATAACAACAATAATAAAAATGAAACAGAAATGAGTAATAACATCCAAAGTAAAGCATAAAAATATTTTAAGTAGCAACAGAGAAGTAGGGAGAGAGAAAAAGAGTGGAATTACTAGCATTTTTATATACTTTTTTATTTATCTTGTTATAATGTTATATGGGAATGTCTTTGAGGGACAAGGGGAAGAGATGATACCTAAGGATTGATTAGCTATTTTCTATTATTTATCTTATTTTATATTTAAGATGTGCACGATTGATGTTAACCATCCAGGGAAACATGATCACATGAACTAATTCTACTTTAATGTCAGGCTACATTACAGAATCTTATAACTCTGAAATTACAAATCATTCAGTCACTTTTAACAGATACATTAGGGCAGATCCTTCTTAAGTTCATTTCTTTGCCTGTTAAACACTTTTTGGCTCTCCTGCCCCTTTTTATCTGATCATTCCCTAGGCAGCATCTCTTCCCCTTTTCCCTCAAAGTCATTCCCACATATCATTGCACTTTTTTACTGGTTTATCTTTTTGTTTGTTTTGCCTTTAAATACTTCAGACAGTGCTGACTCATGGGCTTGAAATGGAGATTAATGCTGCCCCCTATAGTTGGCAATAACTAGTGGAGTAAAACCCACAGAGATTCCTTCCTTTAAAAAAATAGTTTAATAATATTTTTATAGCTGTTGTATTTTTATTTATTTATTTTATTTCAATCTTCATTCTAGCATAAAGTTCATTTTATGTATCTATTTGTATTCTTTTCCTTTTGTTTACTTTACTTAATTCAAAGAATGGTAAGTCAGAATTCAACATTTTTATAAGCATGTACATTTCAAATGTACATGCTTATAAAACATCTTGTGGCCCATAACCCACAAGATGTCAAGGTCTTCATCGAAATCGATGGACGAACAACAACATTTTAAATAAGCAGCACTTTTTAACAACTGGCTGTGGGAAAATGAAGGTTCAAAACTATTACATAGATAAACAAAATACTTTGTTGCATAACCCCCCCCCTGAAAAACCATGAATGAAATTTATTATATTAATATGGACCTGCTGAAAAGAATTTTAGACAAGTTATATTTACATTATAAAACCGGCTGAAGCTAGCAAATTATCTTCAATTATTCCTTATATATATACGATGTTAAAAACTATATAGTGTTTTGTTGTTGTTTTTATAATATCAGTATAAGAAAAAAATAAAAAAAGAAACACATTAACATTTAAACTTCTCTCTAATGACTAAATACATTTTATTTTCTTTATGAATAAATCTATGGCAAAATTAATGGTCTGATTATCAGACCAGTTGATTCAAAAACTTAAACATATAACATGAACATATAAAATCTCCTTGACTAGAATAATGTGATTAAGCTTCTTGAAGTATTCTATGTTTCCCTGCTCAACACTAATTCAGAAAATACTTGGAGTATGTGGCAGAACTGTAAAACAGTTTCAGATCTGGATTGGCCACACCTACGGTACTACAGGTAGGCCATTGGATTTTCCAGAGCAGGAAACGCTACATCAGCTCTAATGCCTGTTGTGGGCCCCTTAGCAATAGTTTGATTCTTTTACATTATTACATTGTTCCACTGGAGCAAGCAGTCTGGAATTCTGAATTCCTAGCATTTTGTTAATTACTATAATCAATGTTTTAAGTCAGTTTCTACCAGCAGTTTTCTAAAGACTATTCTAAAAGCACATTTTTAAAACATTTTCATTTCATTTACCTTCTCAGATCTTCCTTTATGTGAAGGCTGATAAGTTCCTTGGGAACATGAAAAGAAAGATTGCTCTCAAACATCTGTTCTCGTATATACATCCACTTGTTGTCAGAAGTGGGGAATGTATATAATTTACAGATTGGGTTTTTTAACACTGTAAAAGAGAAAGCATGGTATTGCTTAACTGCAGCTTACATTTTTTCCAAAAAATATTGCAGCATATATTTCCCAAGTAAGTGAAAGTTGTAGTTTGAAAAGCAGGAAGAGTAGTGACACTTGAATTCTGGTGTTGGAGAAAACTGAGTACACAGTAGACAGCCAAGAAAATAAAGCATGGATCAAACAAGTCAACACAGAGTTTTCACTCAAGAAATAAATGACCATGGTCACATATTAGGATGATGGGCCAATAGTGGAGGGCAGTTCTATTAACTGCCCTCCACTATTGTTAGTATCTGGAATAGAGAACTTTTCCAGTCTGCTTCAGAAATGATACTTTTGGCACATAGAAGAATTGGGAATTGAAGCGCAAGATAAATGAATAAAGTGTGGATTGAGAAACTCTTCACTTTAATCTGACATGGCACAGCATAAACAACCATGGAAGGTCTATGGAATGACTATGTTCAGAAAAGAAGCAGTTTTTTCCTGCACATATCATACAACAATTTTATTGTCTGCTGAGTTGTCTCAGGCTGTAAGAGTCTGACTGTAAGAGGGTTGGAAGGGATCTTGAACATCTTCTAATCTAATCCCCTTCCCAGTGCAGAATCCTCATACTATTCTGAATGGCTGCCTGGTCTTTTCTTGAAAACCTCCAGTGACAGAGCACCCACAACCTCAAGAGGCAATTGTCCTATTGCTTAATATATCTAAGTCATGAAATTCTTCCTTCATTCAACTGTGGATCTCTCACTGTACAGCTTCCACCCATTTGTTTTTGTTCTTGAAAAGTGGATCATAAAGTTGAAACTATATTAGTAAGCCCAATGAATTATCTTTTTTTGGAGATCAGCCAAGAGAATGTACTCTGATTATCCTCTTTCACTCTTCTGTAGCTTTCAATCATCTTATCCTTCTGAATTGGCTGAGAGATTTGGAAATTAGAGTCATTGGTATTATGGTTGTGTTCCTATTTTTCAGATAGGTTTCATATAGTATCACTTGGAGATAATTTCTTCTTGAAATGGGAACTGTTATATGTTGGTCCTCACTTTATCATTATTCTCCAGTGCTTTTCAGGATCCATTTGAAACTATTGGGAGGGTTTGGTAGTGGATCTAATACTGGGTGATACACTATGTGTCAAGCTCCACACAGACTTGGGTGACATCAAGGAAGCAAGAATTACACACAGGTCAGTCAAATATATTTAATACTAAACATGGACTAAATGGACAGTAGGAATTTCAAACTCTCATTTATTGTAAATTGCTTTAAGGCAGAGCTCTTTAGTAATTTGAAACATTTCTTATCCTGTTTTTTTTAATCCCTGAGCTAAATTACCATTTAAACTACCAATGTACTTAGCTTCCATTTCTTAATTGTTTATATCTATTTTCTCTTCAATTATATTCCCAGTTTCTCTACAATGGTTCACATGTGGACCTATTTTTTATTTTAGGAAATGGTGTAGCTCCTTGGTGTGCTCTTCATAAGTGGCTGAAATTGAATTTGTACAAGATGAAACTTTTCACAACTCCAGAGACAAGGTAAATTTGCCTTTTCTAGACAGGATTTCATTCTCCTGTGCTTCTGGATTCAAATATCTCTCTTTTCCAAATTCTTTCAACAGTCAATGATTGATCAGGCAATATGCTAACTTTCTGAAAAATAATTTGCTTAAAACTGTGATCTGCATGTTGGCAATTTCTAACTTTCACTATAATAATGTTCCATAGGGGACTACTTTCATTTAAGTCTAGAAATTTCAGTTAGTACAACCTTCAGCAGCCATGCTGATTTTAGAAAAAGTAAACAGACCTTATTACACTTACGATAAAAGTACTTCATTGATTACACTTCATTTCCTAGGTCACTATATTAAACATCCTTCAGATTTTTGATAGAATATTCCTTTTTATATGAACTGCCATATTTATTGAAATCTTATGACAACATTGGCCTCCAAATGTCATGACTTCCAAGTAAGATCTTTACATTATCCTTCCAGCTGTTTAAAAAATACTCCCTGAAGTGCTGAGGGCTAGTAGCCTTTAATAAGCCTTTAAAAGACATTGTTTTGTCTTGGTTTTTAATTATTGATTTTAACTGTTTTAATTGCTATTTTAATTATTTGTAATATCTCAGTTTTACATTTCTTTTATTACCAATTATTGAAATACTTCATTTTATATTAATATTTGTTTATAAATCCATGAAAACTTTGCAACAAAAGACTTACTAGTGATTTGTATGAACTAGCTTTTCCCTATCTGTGCCATTCAAATTTGTTCAGTTTTGTTATTATGTTGTCTGGGGGATTTAGGGAAGATACAATCCAAAATTAAATATTAAGTTACACTATGCTTCAGAGAAAACCTCTGAATAGATAATTAAAATTTCCTCTGCATTAGTGGCTCTAATAATGTATTTCATAAAGAGAACTTGCTTGTAAAGAACAGAAAAGAAACTTAATTTTTAGAAAGTCAAAATATTAAGAAAAGTCCCTTATTTCCTTTATAGGGTCATTATCCTTTATTGAGCCCTCCCTGTTTGACTGATTTTTTAAAACAAAAAAATACACGTAGATAAGCTAGTTGTCAGTCCCTTGAATTACGCTAGATTGAAAAACAAATTTCACAAACACTGTTGGAACATTTGTTGTAGGGGATGATAACAGACTTATTGTAAATATCAGGTATCATTCAGTATATAGTATAAAACAAAGACATACATTCCTTTCCCTGTTATACCAAGAAGAATCAAGGTGGAACAGTCATCATCAGTTTCTTTCCCACTACCTCACTACATTTTCCAGTGAAAACCTGGTGTTTATGTAATGGCTTCTGATGCCTTCTTCAAGGCGATTTACATATTCTTTTACACAATATTATTTTAATGTCAACATTTGCAATTGATAAATGATTAGTAAAAAACTCAAAAGTCTTAAAATAAGAATTGAAATTCAACAATAGTTTATTAGATTAACAATGAATAGCCACTCAGATTCATTGAAAATTGGGCAATATGCTAGTATTATATTATTATTATTATTGTTTATTTCTCATGCTTATTTCCCAACAAAGACTTCATAATTTATAAAGGATTTGGGATTCATATCCTAAGCAGATATTTAAGAATAAAGACAATAGCCTTCCAATATAGGAGATTTTATAATCCACAATTTCAAATCCCCTCATTTTATTTCCAGAATTGCAAAGGATACAATGAGCAGTTTAAGATACAGAGGTTAAACAGGTGTACTGTATGTATGTGCACGCACACATATTCTATAAATCATTTGAGTGTCTGTTGATATCTATATAAAAGAACAAATTTTATCACATTCATCATATGACTGTGATTAAATGCACTGTCCGAGTGATCTAGGCTATCTTGTTGGAAAAAATCTTAATGGCGACTCCACTAATGGGCTGAATGAGCAGCAATACACTGAATCACTATCCAATAAATCACTATCCAACAAAGAAACTTTAGGAGAAAAATTGAACTATCTAAGCGAGTAGTGTTGGAAGGACAGAGTTCTGCTTGAAATTCTAGTGATTTATCTTTGTTGCTACTTTGACACAGAAAGTTTGACTGGTTTAAATTGGAACTCCGGTTACAATTTTGCCTATATGCTAGTAGTTTAGTATTTACACCCATTATCATATACATTCCAGATTACACTAATATGCACGAAGTACAATTCTGGCTTTCAAATGAAGCCAGCAGAAAAAAATGAGTGGATGATTTCATGGAATTTCTGCAGGGGATGAATACATTTTCCAACAGTTTCAGCTGATTTCTCCTTTGCTGTAATAGAAGTTACTGCTTTTGAAAAAGAATTTCTGGATGTCAACATTTATTGAAACTACAAAAATCGGGGTAATTATATATCTGTGGAGAGATGATTGTACAGTAAGCATGTCTTGCTTACTGTACAATCTTTGACCCCTACCGGAAGGTAATAGAAATCATATGAGCCTGAAGCTAGCTCACTCTTTTAATTCAATACGAAGGTTAACATTAAGCATTCATTAATCTCACCATTATAAATTAAATGTACATACCTGCATTTAATAATGGTAAATTATCTCTATTAATTATGTTTTCTGGAGATGAACATGAATAAACCAAGGCACACTGAAAGATAAAGTTAGCAAATGTAAACAAGAATTCATAACACAGAATAAAAATAAGTTATAAAGCAATCATACTGAATTTAATATAATGTACTACCTAGTTAAATACCATAGCGCAGTGATGGCGAACCTTTTAGAGACTGAGTGCCCAAACTGCAACCCAAAACCCACTTATGCATCGTCGGGTACCGGGTGGGTGTGGCCCATTGGGTGGGTGTGGTCCATTGGGTGGGTGCGGCCCATTGGCTGGGCATGGCTGCGGTGGTAACAGCAGACTGGGTGGGACTAAAAAGTTCATTCAATCAATTCCAACTTTGTAAGGTCTTTTTTTTCCCCGCAAGTTGAAATTGACTGATTGTTTGAACCTTTTTTTTTTGTACATGGTGGCGGAGCTTAAAGCAAAAAAGTTTTATAAAACCCAGCTGAAGGCCTAGGACTGGGGCGACGGCGCGTGCGCCCACAGAGAGGGCTCTGAGTGCCGCCTCTGGCACCCGTGCCATAGGTTCGCTACCACTGCTATAGCGCATATCATTATTTTACTCTAATATCTTTAAAATGTCAAAATTGTTGTGAGTTTGAGTGGAAAAAATGTTTAATTTCTTACATAATGAGGAATTCAAGAACTAAAGGCTGCTTTAGAAAAAATATTATCTTTATTCACAAGATGCTTAAGAATTATTGTTATTCCTTTTGGCCAACAGTATTCATATTTATGTCTATGCCCAATAGCTGGAAGCTTCACATCACCCAGAGAAGACCAATAAGAGGCATATTATAACCTTAGCAAAGGGGTAGTACATGTTGTTAGACACATTCTTTTCATCTTGTTTTACAATGTCTAGAGTCCGTCCATCCTCCCTCCCCCCTCTGAAAATCCTTGACTAAATGAGCAATCTAACATGTCATTGTAGATCAATGTGCTAGGCTTAATACAATGACTTCTCTAATTAAACTGCCTTAAAGTAAATTGGCTTAAAGTAGCAAAAAGAAACATATGCAAAACTTATTGTGTTAATCCAGAAATTGAGTGATTGAGAAAAGTAACTAACTATATAACTTTCTTACCATAGTGTCTGTCAATCACAGGAATGCATCTTAAAGCAAATAGATGTTTTCTTTCCTAAAATAGCAAAGGCTAGAACAGTGGTTCTTAACCTTTTTGAATGAATCGCCCCCTTGAGCCAATGAGGAAGTTGTCATCGCCCCCCTCTCAATCACAACATAAGAAATAATTCTTCAATTGATGCAAAAACTTTTTTTGTTTTCTTTAAAATTGTCATATGGACATATTGGTGCAAATAATTTATTTCCAGTCTTTTTCCCATATCTCAACTGTGTGAAAAATTTTGGTGCCATCCATCATTTATTCCCAAACTTCGTGATACATGTATTTCATTATTATCTTATTTATTCAAGATGCTTAAATGTAATGACCACTGAAAACAAAATTCAATTGCAAGAAAGTGAAATGCCCGAAAAGAAAAACAGTAACATTTAATGATTGAATTACAAGTGAAATTTAAGACGCAAAAAGAAATATAAAAAGGGCATAAAAACAAACCGCAATGCGCATGAAGATAAGCGATGTGTATTCACATATGTACGGCGTTCTGTACTGAAGCTAGCTAGAAGAACATTTGAAAACACAATTCAATCCACTAATAGTGAGCGATCTGATGTTTTTGTACGACAGATATACAGCGATTCACTGTACGAAAAAGTCTCAAAAGTGTCCCCAAACTGTCTCGCTCCATTGCCCCCATATCACCCCCTTTTTGTTCCTTTGCCCCCGCATCGCCCCTTTTCATTCCATCGCCCCCCTGAAAAATGAAATCGCCCCCTGGGGGGCAATATCGCCCAGGTTAAGAACCACTGGGCTAGAATACCAATTCTTAAGACTGAGGATTAAAATGTCCTCCTTTGTTTTCATCACAGAGGAAAAGTGATGACATATTTCAAAATATGTGAAGCTAGGATGAGCAAAAATGAGAGCAGAAGTGAGCAAAAATGAGATCAGAAGAGAGGTTACCATACATTCATCAATAATATGACCTTTTATTAACAACAACAAATCTTTAAAATCATCTACTCCATTTCTATGTTAAGCAGAAGTGCAGAGAAACAGGATAGCACTCTAATTTATACTAAGCTGTTTATTTGTTTTGTTTTAAAGTTATTTTAACAATATATGTTAAAATTCTATACCATATACAGCTTTGGATATATAGTTTTGAAGGTTACACACTTTTATATAGGTTTCTAAAATAACTGATAATTCTAATTTAATTTGTGCACAGACCTTTGTTTTTACCTTTTGCTCTTTCCCATCTGTTGTGATCTGATCTGATTCCCCATCTTCAGTCTTCCCCATATTTATAAATCTGACATTTATTGTGCCAAATGTCTTCCCACCATCTAAACTCCTGAACAAAGATATGGAGAAGATAAAGGAACTTTATTTTCATCCCACATAGCAGCTTCATTAACTAAATGATTTTCATTCTCTATTAAAAGCAATTAAGTACAACATGCTGTCTTGCAATCACTGTCACAAATGTATCCTGACATTTAAGCAAACAGTATATCCATCATCACATTTATAATCTGAAATGCTGCAGCATATGTTTTATTACTTGTTCTCCATAATAATTTCTGAAGGGAATAAAGCTATATGCAAAATATCCACAGAGAGTTTAAAACAGATACTGTCCCTAAATATTGACCACAAGAGTGCATGCAAAAAGTATAAAATCTCTTTTGCTAGTCTGTGATGTGTTGTTCCAAATCCAAACTTACAAGAGCATTACCTTGTTTTCTCATGATATTACATTCAAGGAAAAGAAATTACAGCTCTAGAATTCTGCAGATTTGATACAATACATCTTAGCTTTTCATTATGTACTGCCAAAATCATACAATTCTACAAACTACCAATGATAATATATTTTCAAAGTCACAATATGATTTCAGCATAAAAATGATATATATTATGAGATGAATATCAATTCCTAAAAATTAAATAAAACAACCCCATGTTGCAACTTAACAAAAGGACAGTACAAGTAGTGCCAATCTGGCTTCTGGTGGAAGCTTATAACATAAAATGGGGATCACCACAAAAGGTACTTCTTCCAAATCCAAATATTATGTTATTGTGTACCAGGCTAGGTTTGTGATTTTTTTTTAAAATAAAACCAGAATTGTCAGGATGTACTTTCGTCTCTCGTAATTCCAAAGAGTATAATGAATACGTAAAGTCACGCCACTGTTCACCTCTCAGGAACCTGTATAATTCCAACTATGCATAAACTGTGGTAAAACAGATAATACATGTAAATTGGTTGAGTTGGTTTGTCTCAATATATCTATGTGCAGAAACTTCACAATATGGCATAAAAAGACATATAAACAATTCCTTTGGGTCCGGATGTGGCCACGTGGTAATGTGTGCCTAAAGTTATTCCGTGGCGTATTTAAAAAGAACTTAGCAATATGCCTTGTTTTTATTCTGCAGCAGGTTAGTATTGTTGTTGCTTATATGTTTGAGGTACCTATGCACCTTTTAAATTTTATAAATGTTTTATCATTTTTTAAATTATCCTTAAAGTTCAGTTTTACACCCTGTTTCTAGCATAGACTTAGACTGAGTCATAGAAAAACACACAGGTCCCTGCATGAGCTTCAAAATATAAATCAAATTTAGGGTGACATCCAGTCACTGGCATTATATAGCAGGAAATAAAACAATTATTTACCCATTAGGATCCTCTGAAAAAATCTAAAGGGCAGCCATTCACCATTTTACAGGCTCTATGCTGTTATCTAATATTGCCTCCAATTTCTTAATCCAATGTTTTATTGCAATTTGTCAACAGTGGTAATTCTTTCATGGAACCTGAATCTTAGCAACCATGAAACATCACCTTGAGTGCTTCAGGTAATGGATAGTATTATTGTGGACATCTCAAATTGGAAAGAGTCTGAGCTAGAAGATGCTGCTCCTGGTGGTCCAGATAAATGCTAGAAAAAAGCTGGAAGTGCTACTCCAGAGTTCCCAGGTGAATGCCATTAAGGAGAAATTAGCAATGAGGCACATAAATCTGATGGAGATAAGGAATATGCAGAACAGCTGGCAGCATAGGGGACAAGGGGTGGAATTTATGACTTTCCCTCTAGGTCAAGAACTAAAAACATCAAGCAGCACAAAGGCATTGTGTGGCTTTTTGTCTTTTGTATGTTCCTGAACTTGATTGCCTGTGGTGATAGCAAGTTCTATTTAAGAACCATCACTGCCCAGCAACTTTTTGTTCGGAACAACTGCTCCATTTACCCAACAACTGTTCATTTACTTCCTGAAAACTTGCGTGTGGAAACACTGTTTCTTTCTGATATGACTTAGCTGATGGCTTTGCTGTATCTTGTGCTTCAGACAAGGACTTGGGTTATGTCTATAACTACTCTGTTCCTTCAGATTCTGACTACCAATAATCTTATTCAGGCAAACTTTTAAGGACTTCAGAACTGTTTGAGAGATGTGTGTGTAAATATTTATAATAATAATAGTAAAGTTGGAAGGGACCTTGGAGGTCATCTAGTCCAACCCCCTGCTCAGGCAGGAAACCCTATACCATTTCGGACAAATGGCTGTCCAGTCTCTTCTTAAAAACTTTCAGTGTTGGAGCATTCACCGCTTCTGGAGGCAGGTTGTTCCATTGGTTAATTGTTCTAACTTGTCAGGAAGTTTCTCCTTAGTTCTAGGTTGCTTAGTTTCCACCCATTGCTTCTTGTCCTGCCTTCAGGTGCCTTGGAAAATAGCTTCACTCCCTCTTCTTTGTGGCAGCCCCTGAGATATTACAACACTGCTACCGTGTCCCCCCTCATCCTTCTTTTCATTAACTAGACATACCCAATTCCAGCAGCTGTTCCTTATATGCTCTAGCCTCCAGTCCCCTAATCATCTTTGTTGCTCTTCTCTGTATTCTTTCTAGAGTCTCAACATCTTTTTTACATCACCGTAACCAAAACTGGATGCAGTATTCCAAGTGTGGCCTTACCAAGGCATTGTAAAGTGGTATTAATATTTCACGTGATCTTGATTCTATCCCTGTTAATGCAGCCTAGCACTGTGTTGGCCTTTTTGGCAGCTGCAGCACACTGCTGGCTCATATTTAGGTGATTGTCCACTAGGACTCCCAGGTCCCTCTCACAGTTACTATTGAGCAAGGTACCCCCTATACCTATGCATTTGGTTTTTCTTGCCTAAATGTAGAATCTTGCTTTTTTCACCATTGAATTTCATTTTGTTAGATAGCATGTTCTAGTCTGTCCAGATCCTTCTGTATCTTAAGCCTGTCTTCTGGAGTGTTGGCTATTCCTGCCAGTTTGATGTTGTCTGCAAATTTGATGAGTTCCCCATCTATCCCCTTGTCCAAATCGTTGATAAAGATGTTGAAGAGCCCTGGGCCCAGAACAAAGCTCTGGGGCATCCCACTACACACTTCCCTCCATGTAGATGCGGTTCCATTGAGGACCACATGCTGAATACGGCCGGTCAGCCAGCTACGGATCCATTTGGTGGTGGTGCTGTCTACCTCACATTTTTCTATCTTGTCAAGTAGTAGGTTGTGATCTACTTTATCAAATGCCTTACTGATGTCCAAGTAAATTATGTCCACAGCATTCCTCTGATCCACTAATTTTGTCACTTGGTCAAAGAATGTAATAAGATTTGTCTGGCATGATCTATTTTTGACAAACCCGTGTTGCTTTTAGTAGTGACTTTGTTTGCGTCTAGGTGTTTGCTGATTCATTGTTTGATTATCTTTTCCAGGATCTTCCCAGGTATTGAGGTCAGGCTGATAAGTCTGTAATTTCCTGGGACCATTTTTTTTCCTTTTTTGTAGATGGGAACTACATCAGCTCTTTTCCAGTCCTCTGGTAGTTCCCCTGTGCTCCAGGATCTTTGAAAAAGATTTTTGGGACATGCCTGGCACTACATGTATTTGCCACTCCCAAGTAAAACCCATTTACCCACTATGCTTCTGTATGTGCAGACGCTTGATCTAACACAGGTCACGTATCTCCAATTTTAAATTCCTCTGAGAAACACTATCTGAGATCATCATCTTTAAAACTATAGATCAGTATTTCGAAGTCAAATATTGAGTGTCCCAGAATATGTAACCAGGTACCCAGTGTTCCCTTTATTAACACTTATGTATGTAATAATTTATGATGTACACACCCAAATACCCCTCTTGTTCCAAAATTTGCTTTGTTCATGACAGGAGTAATGGTTTGGAGTATAGGAGAAATATATCCAAATTTCCCTTGCAGACATGCTTTGTGCACATTTGCTGTCATTGTGAGGGCATTATTCTGTTCAGTTGCAGATCTGTAGTTATCACTTTGCACACAGGAGTTTAAAGTTTTTACCACTATGTGTTTTATTTCAGAAACATTCAAATATGCTCAATATATTCATTTTTCATTGCTTGCTGCAGGATTGTAGAGTTGTGTGTGTGAGCATGTATTTATGTTTCCAGTTAAAGTTTGCACATATTATTTATGCCAATTATGTAATTACAAAAATAATTCAAGTTGATGCAAACAATGTACACTGAGATTTAACAGATATCCCTTTTGCTGAATTGGCTGTTAAACTGAGGGTTTATTGTAAGCCCTTAGATAGGGGGAAATCACGTTGTCCAAGATCTGAAGTTGATCACATTTCAAAAATAATACAAAACGAGGTAGTATTATCGCAGATGATTTTTTGGCTAAAAAGATAAAAGGATAATTCAAGTATACAGTATAGAGAAATGGAGCAAGTAATCTCCCTATAGGATTGAAGAATCCTCCAGCGTATCTTATAAAATGTGCATTAATTTTAAATAAAAGATAGAAAAGCAAGTCATTCGATGGCAGATTTCTCAATTTGACAAGATTTGTAATTAACAGGAAGACCTACCTGAGGCTAAGAGTCAACTGCTGCCCTTCTGACTTCACCAATTCGCCTACTTTAAAAGTAGCAGAACCCAGGAAACTTCGCTAGAAACCAAAGGAAAGATTAGATACAAAGATTCACAAAAGACAAGGGTTCTATGACATGTACAAAATACAGAGTTTCTCAAATTGTAATGGTTTCTCTTTCAACCAGAAACAAACAAATGATAACACTGATGGCAAAAGATAACTATTAAGTAGCAAACTGAACATTTATTCAGCATTGAATGCTTTCACAAATCAATGATGCTATTCTTGATAATTGGTTAAACTGGAACAGGAATTTCTTTTTTTCACTAAAAACAAAGAGAATTGACAACCTGAAAAACTGCATGCTGAAAATACAAAGCTTTAAGAGAAGATACCTTTTTAGGTTTAATTATTTTGATATTACAGTTGAGGTTAACGGTGAAGATGTTTATTGCTGTCATTCATTAGTCAGGCTTGCAGGCACTATCATATTAATAAATATGAACATATTTATTTTCCAGAGGTATTTCTACATAGCTATTTTGTTTATTTTTAAGAGTCATTGTTGATTCTCTGTGACTGCCTGGACTAGTCTCTCCAATCTTCTTGGCAAGATTTTTCAGAAGTAAGTTGGCCTTGCCTCTTTCCTACACCTGAGACAGGATGATGGACCCAAGGTCACTCGGCTGACTTTGAACCTAAGGTGGGATTAGGACATAGGGTCTCTCAGTTTCCAGCCTGGTGCCTTAACCACTACACCAAACTGTGTCTCATATATAGACAATAGACAGTATTAGTAGGATGAATGCTATATTTATTAATTCAGCACACTATATGGGGAATTTGTTTCCCTCTCTCTTTTTACTGCAGATGCAAGCAAATGTTTTCATCCAACTCTATTGATAACACTTATTTTTGTTGTGCAGTTTGGTTTGTTTATTTATTTAATCAGTCAATGACAAGCAATATGAAATAATAAAAAAGGAAATAAAAGACAACAATTACAATCTGGAGTGACAGGGACAATTGGATGCAATTATATATTGGCAACTAAAAAATATATTGAATATCGTATACTCTGAATACCCCTATTACAATAACATACTTATTTAGCTAACACTAATAATTCTAATATAATAAAACTATAAAGCTTTAGTAAATAAAACTTTACTAATTAAAATATACATTCTCTAAAAGTTATTAAAAATAGTAATAACTAAGCAAAAAGTTTATATCAATAAATTTTTATTACAATCACAGACCAGCATTACAAATAAAAACATTAAAAACAATAAATAAAACAGACAAAATAATACATTATAATTAGTGATGGATAATGTTGATAAAATCTATAGTTCTTTAACCAGTTTTGCCTTATTATCATTGCAGCAGCACAAAATTTGGCTACTGCATGAGTGGTGGCTGGATTTGAGTACTGGAAATTGTCTGCTCTCCCTAGAAATCTCTCTAAGAGAGGGAGAACGTATGTTGATCTGATGTCCCTGTAAAACGTACAATGCAATAAGATATGCAGGATGTCTTCCCCATTGCCACATGTATACATTTGCTGTGCTATTGGGGTTTTATCACGCTTGCCCTGCAGGAGTTCTAAAGGAAGGATATTAAATCTGGTTCTTAAAAAATGCTATGCTACTCTTAGGAAAGGGCAGTCTTTCAGAAACTTGTTAGTTCCCACATCCCTCCATCTAATCCAGTTTCTGCTGTGGAAAGGGATCCTATTGGGCAGTTTGGTACATGTGACATGTCAAACACACTTTTCTCTGTCTGCATATATCATTCTCTTGTAAATCTCTGAAGCCTCTTTAGTTTTAAAAGGTCACATGAAGAGAAAGATTTTTGTATCATTGTAACACTTTTGACGTGCATAACAATGGTCCTTTTCTGATCCCTTTTAGACTATTCCATAAACAAAACATTGTATGTCATGCTTCCATTATAATTAACTACAACAGTTTATATGACTTGCATGCCTTTTAGAAGATGATACAATTTTCTTGGTTGCAACTTCTGAATTCAGCCCCATTTTAGGGGAGGGAGGGTGTTGGATTTTTTCACAATACAAAGCATAATGCTCTTGGATCATGTTCCATGTGCTGCCCACCAGCTTCATTATACAGTATTAACATTCTTGCAGCTAAGAGTTGTCTTGATGGTAGCATTTGAGAAATGCAATCTGATCTTTCTGGCCTTTCCTTTGGAATCCATTCCATAATTTTTATATTAAAAAAACAACAATCCTAGCAAAAGCTGAGGATTATGTCTGACTATAGCAACTGAGCTTATAAAATGGATTTTAAGGTTTACACAGAGAAAGATGGACAATGTATGGAATATAGGTGATTTTAGAAAGGGAGTAAGTCAGTAAAACAACTGACTTCTTACTGCTGTGCTTCTTTTGTTGTTGTTGTTAATTGCGAAGTCGTGTCCGACCCATTGCGACCCCATGGACAATGTTCCTCCAGGTCTTCCTGTCCTCTACCATCTTCTGGAGTCCATTTAAGTTCACACCTACTGCTTCAGTGACTCCATCCAGCCATCTCATTCTCTGTCGTCCCCTTCTTCTATTGCCCTCAATCTTTCCCAGCATTAGGCCCTTCTCCAGTGAGTCCTTCCTTCTCATTAGGTGGCCAAAGTATTTGAGTTTCAACTTCAGGATCTGGCCTTCTAAAGAGCAGTCGGGGTTGATCTCTTCTAGGACTGACCGGTTTGAACGCCTTGCAGTCCAAGGGACTCGCAGGAGTCTTCTCCAGCACCATAGTTCAAAGGCCTCAATTCTTTGGCGCTCAGCCTTTCTTATGGTCCAACTTTCACAGCCATACATTGCAACTGGGAAAACCATGGCCTGGACTATACGCACTTTTGTTGGCAGGGTGATGTCTCTGCTTTTTAGTATGCTGTCTAGATTTGCCATAGCTTTCCTCCCCAGGAGCAAGCGTCTTTTAATTTCTTGGCTGCAGTCCCCATCTGAGGTGATCTTGGAGCCCAGAAAAATAAAATCTGTCACTACCTCCATTTCTTCCCCATCTATTTGCCAGGAATTGAGAGGGCCGGATGCCATGATTTTGGTTTTCTTAATGTTGAGTTTCAAGCCAACTTTTGCACTCTCCTTCTTCACCCGCATCAAGAGGCTCTTTAGTTCCTCTTCACTTTCTGCCATCAGAGTGGTATCATCTGCATATCTTAGGTTGTTGATATTTCTCCCGGCAATCTTAATTCCAACTTTTGATTCATCTAGCCCTGCCTTTCTCATGATGTGCTCTGCATATAAGTTAAATAGGCAGGGTGACAGTATACAGCCTTGCCGGACTCCTTTTCCAATTTTGTGCTTCTAGAACTATGCTTTAATTGATACTATTCATTATACAGTATTAACTATTTTGCAACCATACTTATGTTTTCATTTGAACAAAATTCTATACAAATAGAAAGAAATATGCCAGTTTTTCAGATATCTAAGCTTCTAACAGATATCTAAGCTTCTAAGCTTCTGATTAATATGAACATTTATAAAAAAAGCTTTGTGGTATTCAATACAGACAATTTTAGCAAGAGTGATTAACAAATGTAATGCAATGAAAAAAATAGGATGTTACTTGGAGTCTTTCTTGAGATTGAACTAGCTAGAAAGGAAAGAAATAGAAAAGAAAATCACAATTGTATGTCTTTGTACAGAAATGTACAACACAGCACCATTGCAGTATCTGGATTACTTCCTACTATACTAGTGGTTCTCAACCTTTTTAATGCCGTGACCCCCAACCGGTCATAAGTCAAGGACTACTCAACCGGTCATAAGTCGAGGACTACTCAACTGGTGCAGCACCATTTGCAGAATGGGACTTTTGGCGGGCTCAGCAGGGCAGAGACAGCCTGGACAATTCCTATTGGCTTTTGAAAGCCAATAGAATTAGACTCTATTCAAGAGAGTCTATTCTATTGGCTTTCAAAAGCCAATAGAATAAAAGGGAGTAGCACAGCTAAGGAAAAGGGGAAAAAAATGGTGGACTGCGTTGTTTGGCGATCCCCATGAAATGGTCGTTCGACCCCAAATGGGGTCCCGACCCACAGGTTGAGAACCACTGTACTATACCAACATACAAACAAAAGTATTGAGGATGTGCCATGGTTGTATATCCAATTCTTGAATATTTTGCACAAATGTAATTTACAAAAAGCTCATGAACAGTTAATCATCACAACTTTAACCTCATTTTAGCATTATCTGTTTTAATGTAAATACATACAGACACATATATCAACAATTAACCTACCCCACTATCTGTCCTTGGATCTTTGTTTTCTGCCAGAATGCTGCTCCGAACCTAGACAAATCAATTGACAAATCAACAAATAATTTAATTTAGTCTCTTTTTACATGAACCAAAAAGTGGTCCTTCTTTATTTTATTTAAAAGGAAATATTCTGCAATTGTCATTGACTCCATTGTCTTCTAATTCTAATTTAACTTCATAGGTTTCCCCTTTTCATTTATTTCAGAGATTCTTGTGGTTATAAATTATTTTGCTACAGATGACTTAAGTATCTAGTTTGGTAATGAAACATCTGCACGAAAACAACCAAGCTCAGAGAACACCAAGGACCCGCAGTCCAACCCTGAACTACAAATATTCTTTTTTCTCAGAAGCAACATTTCAGGGTCTGTGATCACAAAATGGGTGAGGCTGCATCATTTATATGGTACAGGTAGCTTCTGGAGGGACTTCATAGATTTCTTTCTATGATATGTCTATTTTAGAGCTTATGCTATGTTTTCATCTGTTTTCTATCTCAACATGACTGAAAAAAAGGTTGCCCTCTCAGACAATAAACACAAATGAGTAGTAAATAGCAATTCTTTACTCCGTAAGGCAGAAGTGTCAAACTCGATTTCACTGAGGGCCGCATCAGCATTGTGGTTGCCCTCGTGGCTAGGGGTGTTTGTGGCCAGGTGGTCGCGGTTGACTGGGTGGTTGTGGCTGGGTGGTCACAGTTGACTGAGTGAGCGTAACTGGGATGGACATGGGAGGGATCCAGGGGTCTCTGGCAGAGGGGGCGGAACCAGGGTAAGTGCTGGGGCCTGATGCACCGGAGGAGATTCGTCAACCCTCTCGGGCTATGCGGGGATCCAGCACAGGCTGCCTGGGGCTCTTGAGCTCCTGGCATGGAGTGAGATTGGACGGCAGGGGACGAGACCACAGGGACCATGATGTGGCATTGATGGCAATCAGCTGGATTGCCTCGCCGTGGCCCCACTGCCTATCTTTGATTGCCCACAGCCACGACTGGGATAGGACAAGTGGCTGTGCAGCTACGTGGCAGGCCGGATCGTGTACCTCCCCCCCTACGTCTCTGCCTGCTGCTTGGACGGCTGGCCTGGTGGTCGCGGCATTCAGACCCACCTGTGCTGCATGGGCTTCGGAGTTCTGGCTGCCTTTTGGGGACAAGGGCTCTCCGCCCTTCCCATTTGCCGGGGCTGTCATGGGTGGAGTGGCAGGCGGGAGGCTCATCCCACTTTTGCGGCGGAGCTGAAGGATAAGATTGGATGGGGGAGCGAGCATGCAGGGGCGCATGGCACCACCCCTGCCCCTCCACCTCCCTTGTGTCATATACCCCACAGCGGCAGCAATGGCAGCAGGCAAAGGTGCAGGGGTAGGCATGTTATCTGGCCTGCCGTGAGGCTATACAGTCGTCTGCCCCGTTCTAGTGCAGCAGCCGCGGGCAAACAAAGACAGATAGTGGGATGGAACAGGCACGTCTGGTGGGCTGGATGACATGCCTCCCTCTGCTGCTGGTGCCACCGCTGCATCTGCTGCTTGTAGGGCCGGCCGATCGCAGGGCTCAGAGTTTGGGGACAAACAGGGACAGATCATATTAGTCATTTTAAAGCAATTTTTATTTATAGGAATTCTGTATCTGGTAGGCAAGTTAAACATTATCATTGCAGAATTGTGCAATCACTATGCATGTATTGTAGCTTCTTTATATTATGGGCAAGTAAGTTTCTGATGCTTGGGTATAAACAAAAGGATAACTTAAGAAACATATATTTTTCTACATTCTAAATCCATGGAACCAGAATTTAAACTATTTCAGACAGCTTTAATCTGCTTACTCTATGACTGTGGTGGTGAACCTATGGCACGCATGCCACAGGTAGCATGCGGAGCCCTCTCTGTGGGCACGCATGCTGTCGCCCCACTCCTAGGCCTTCAGCTGGGTTTTATAAAACCTTTTTGCTTTAGGCCTCCACAGGCATGTGCAAAAAAAAAAAGGTTCAATCAATCAATTTCAACTTCTTGCGGGGAAAAAAAGATCTCGCAAAATTGGAATTTATTGAACTTTTTAGTCCCACCCAGTATGCCATTACCACTGCAGCCATGCCCACCCAACAGGCCACTCCCACTCAATTGGCCACACCCATCCAATAGGCCACACCCACCCGACACCCGATGATACGTAAGAAAATAAAGTGTAGGAAGCAAACTGACTGCAAAGCAGAAAACATTCCTTTCAAACAAGAGCAGGAAAACAAATCTGGAGCAATCATTGGTGGTAATGGTGGGTTAAATAAAGGCAAGCATCTTCTATTGGTGCCCTTCAAAAATGGTTTCTGGCTTACACTGATGATAGATAAATGTGGCTTGGTGAACACAACCATTTTACAGTAAAAGCCTGTTTTTTTCTTTAGGGCAGGAACAAACAATTTTTGGGTGACACAGCTTTCTGAAGGAAATAGCAGCTACAGTCTGTATGACAGTAATTGCATAGAACTGATATTTATGGGTGTGTTTTGTTATTGTTTTTTTTTATTCAGAGGGCTCTCTTGGTGTCAGTCCCTTGAGTTACACAAGGTCAAGAAAACATGGCAGGTATTCCAGGCATATATAAGATAAAATAACCTTTACTGTCATTTTTTACTGTGAGCACACAGGCCCACATTACAAATGAAATTCTGTTGCCTGCTTCAAGAAAAAGTATATATCTATCCATACACATACATAACACACACATACATATGCTATACACACACACACACATACATACATACATACATATATATATACATACATAGGTCTTTGGTTATTCTCCCGCGTAAAATTGGAAGTGTCTTGGCGACGTTTCGACGAAGTCCCATTCGTCATCTTCAGGCTGGTGTTTTCGGCTTCGTGCTTCTAGGAACAATGTGTGATCGTAGCTGTTTCTTCCTTTTAACTGCCAGTGGGGGTATGAACTGATTGGGTGGGAGCTTGGCTGTGTTCTGATTAGGTGGAGGTTTGTTCTGATTGGTTAGGGGCTTGGCTGTGCTCTGATTGGATGGGGGGTTGGCTGTGCTTTGATTGGATGGGGGAGTGTTCTGTTTGGGTGGAGGCTTTGTTGTGCTCAGGTTGGTCTGAGTTGCAGGGGATTTCAGATGGTGAGCTGCGTTGCTGTTGTTTGGCTTCGCGTTCGTGGTCGTGTCTCATCTTCATGGTGGGTGTCAGTTTGCTTCATGTATGGATTGGAGGGGTTTAAAGTGGCTAATGATGCAGCTGTGGTCTGGCTTCTGGTTTGTGGTTGTGCCTTCTTGTGTTCTTCAATGCGTGCACTTATTCTTCTGTTGGTTTCTCCAATGTATGTGGTGGTGCAAGCGGTGCATGGGATTTCATATACTCCTTGGTTTTCTAACTCAATTTTGTCTTTGGGGTTTCTTAGGATGGTGGATATTTTTCTGTTTGTGCAGAATGCTGTCTTGATGTTGTCTTCATGGAGGGTCTTGCTGATTCTGTCTGTGGTGCCTTTTATGTATGGGAGGAGGGCTTTGCCGTTTTCTTGTTCTCTGTCTTGGATTTTAGTGGGGGTTTCTTTTTGGATTAGGTTGGTAATCTTATTTCTTTGGAATCTGTTGGATGTTAGTACATTAGTGACAGTGTGTAATTCGGTTTTTAGGTGTTGTTCGTCAGCTAAGCGTTTTGTTCTAGAGATGAGTGTCTTGGGTATGGAGTTGATCTGTGCTGGGTGGTGGTGTGAGAGTGTGTGCAGATAGTGGTTTGTGTATGTTTTCTTCTGGTAGATGGTGTGTCCTAGAGAGCTATTGGATTTCTTGTAGACTAAGACATCCAGGAAGGGAAGTTGGTTATTAGCTTCTGTTTCCAGGGTGAATTGTATTTTGAAGTGTAGGCTGTTGAGGTGTGTGAGGAAGTTGTCCAGTTTTTCTTTCCCATGTGGCCAGATTATGAAGGTGTCGTCTATGTATCTGAGCCAGAGTTTGGGTTTGTGATCAGATTTTTCTAGAGCTTGGGTTTCAAAGTATTCCATGTAGAGGTTTGCAATGACAAGTGAGAGGGGTGATCCCATGGGTGCTCCTTCTATTTGTTTGCATTTTTGTCCGTTATAGATAAAGTATGTGTTGGATAGGCAGTGGTTGGTCAGATCTAAGATGTGTTTGGAGTGGATTATATTCGTTTTGGATAGCTGTCAAGGCTTCTTTGATTGGCACTTGGGTGAAGAGGGATATGACATCAAAGCTCACGAGTAGGTCGCTGGGCTGTAAGTTTTGTTTCTTTATGATCTCTATGAATGAGTTTTTTACGTGTGAGGTGATGGATTCTGCATAGGGCTGTAGTTGTTTGGCGAGAAATTTGGCTAGGTTTTGTAGAGGTGAGCCTATGGAGTTGACTATGGGTCTAAGTAGGGTTCCTTTTTTGTGTATCTTGGGGAGACCATAGAACTTAGGGCATCTGGATGATTTCTCTCTGGGAATGATTCTTTGCTGGATCTCTTCGCTAATGGGGGAGGCTTTTATTTTGGATCTAGTGGTTTTTTCCAGGTAGGTGGTGGGATATGAAATCCCATGCACCGCTTGCCCCACCACATACATCGGACAAACCAACAGAAGAATAAGTGCATGCATTGAAAAACACAAGAACTCAGTCAAAAAAGAGGAACCAATTTCTTCCCTGGTCCAACACCTTAAAGCCACAGGACATGAAATTGACTTTAAAAAAACCAGAACTATCGCCAAAACTGAACACTTTAATAACAGAATAATCAGAGAAGCCATCGAGATAGAAAAACGCCCACACAGCATGAGTAAACGAGATGATACCTCCCGCCTACCAGCCATTTGGAAACCCGCCCTTATTGACAAACGAGTCCCTAACCCAAAGAATGACACCAGACCCACACTCATGAAAACCACACAGGATGTCACCACCACACATCCATGCAAAAAGCAAACACAAACCCACACCGATGATGAGGCACGACCACAAACCAGAAGCCAGACCACAGCTGCATCATTAGCCACTTTAAATCCCTCCAATCCATACATGAAGCAAACTGA